ATACACATGAGGAAGAAAGAAATAAAACTATCTTTGTTTATAGGCAAGATGATTGTCTCATCAACAACAACAAAAAAATCAACAGAGAAACTCCTACAACTAATAAGAAATTATAGCAAGGCTGCAGGCTACTATGTGAGTAGATAAAAGCCAATCACATTCCCATATAAGGGCAATGAACGAATGTAATTTGAAACCAATACACAATATAATTTATATTAGCACCCCCAAAAATAAGATATTTAGGTATAAATCTAACAAAATATGAAAAACTACCCAAAAAAAACTGTAGGAAAAGGAAAAAACCCTACAGAACTGATGAAAGAAATCAAAGAACAACTAAATAAATGAGGACAGATTCTATGTTTGCGGACAGAAATCAATATTGTGAAAATGTCGGTTCTTGCAACTTGATCTGTGGATTCAATGCAATCCCAATCAAAATAAACAGTGAGTTATTTTGTAGATATTGACAAACCGGTTCTAAAGGTTAAATGAAAGGCATAAGACATCCAATAGCCAACTCAACATTAAGACAGAAGAACAAAGTTGGAGGACTCACACTACCCAATTTCAAGACTTACTGTAAAGCTACAGTAATCAAGACAGTGTGTTATCAGGAAAGAACAAATACACAGATCAATGGAATGAATAGAGAGCCCAGAAACAGACCCACATAAGTAGAGTCAACTTATCCTTGAAAAAGGAAAAAAAAGTAAAGGCAATACAATGCAGCAAAGAGAGTCTTTTCAACAAATGATGCTGGAACAAATATGCCAAAAAACAATAAACTGGATAGAGACCTTCTATCCCTCACAAAAACTAACTCAAAATGAATCACAGAACTAAATGTAAAAACGCCAAACTATAAGATAACATAGGATAACATGAACAAGAAGCCAATACCAGCCAGCAGCTGCAGAGGAAACACCCCCACTGACTGAGCCCTTACTGTTGACCAGGCTTTGTGCTTTACTTCAGTCACTTCCATTAGCCCCCCCTTATTATCACACACACCCCTTAATAGATGAGAAATTAGTTATAAGAAGTATAAAAAGAATAAATATCTTGCCAAAGTCACCAGCTTGCTCTTTATCCCCTTGCTATGTTATCTTTGCATGCTGAATTCCAGAGATTTGACTAAAATCTTTATTCACATAAATATATCCAGGTCTGGCACTGAAATAGCTGAGGTCTGATGCAGACTGAAAAACCTTAACTGTTAATGACCTGTTACATCAACAAAGATATACATCGGGTGTCTACTATTTACAAGACAGAATTTTTTTTTAAGCAACAACTTAGTGAGCTCTCCCTCAGGTTTGGAATTCAAAGTTGCAAGCACTTGACATTTTTTCACATCATTTAATCCTCACAACAATCTGCCAGGTTAAGTGCTCTTATCCTCATCCTACAGATGAGAAATGAGACTCGGTGAGAGGAAGAACACTGTTCTTAAGTGGAAGAACTTGAATTCGAATAAACAGAACTCTAGAATCCATGCAGTGAGTTATCACCTTCACTCCCACTCGAAGACATCCACTGCCTCCACTATGGCCACACCTATCATTAACACAAAGCCTTCAGACTTAGGAGCTGGCTGGGCATGGTAATTCACAGCTGTAATTCCAGCACCATAGGAGACCAAGGTGGGAGGATCACTTGAGACCAGGAGTTCAAGACTAGGCTGGGCAACATAACAAGACCCTAGCTCTATGAAAAGATTATATTTAAAGAAAATTAAATTAAATTGAAAAACTGATGAGCATTCTTGTGTGTAGTATCTGATCTTCACAGCAACCCTGTAAAGTAGGTGAGACAGAGATCATGGGGATTTTATAAATGAGGAAACTGAGGCACTGATGCAAGGGAAATATACATTGTGGGCATACCCTGAATGCCCCACCCACCAGGTGAGACCATCAGAAATTCTAAAGACAGAAAAAGAAACACACATCAAAGGCTGTTTAAGTAAACCTTAAAATTGAAAAAACTGCTGCTTTTTCATTTAACAAACACTTTTTTATTCTCTGTTATTATACTTACCAGGGTTCTAGGACTGAATGAGAAATACAGGTTTTCTATTGGTCATATTCACAGCCAACATTTCCTCTGTGCCAGGTCAGAAAGACAGTGGTCACCTTCATGAATAACTTCCTCGGGCAAAGCTGCTCTCAGCCTTGACTAAAGTTGCCTGTCCAGGGGCTGGTCCACACTCATGATCTCTCTTCTCTGGCACAGAGAAAGTGAATGGTCAGACCCATCTCTTGAATGGTGATTCATGTGCTTTAATAACGTTTCTTGTTCACCAGATACACTTTATTAAAAAGTGAAGTGACAGTCAGAAAGGTGAAGTGGCTTAGCCAAGGTCACACAACTTGGAAGCAGCAGATCAGAAAGAAAAATCCAGGTCTCCTGTTAGGTAGGCTAGTCTTCCATCCAAGGGCATACTAGACCCAGGTCAACTCAGCCATGTGGGGCTGCCAGATGTTTCTGCATGTGGATAAGGGCTAAGGGCTACGAGGGAACAGAATAAGCTAGAAGCTCCCAGAACTTTGGTCCTAGAAAGGCCCTTAAGAATTATCCAGAATGAGCGTGGGGGCACATGTCTATAATTCTGGCACTTTGGGAGACTGAGGTGGGCAGATCACCTGAGGCCAGGAGTTCAAGACCAGGCTGGCCAACATGGTAAAACCCCTTCTCTACTAAAAATACAAAAAAATTAGCAGACTTGGTAGCATGCACCTGTAGTCCCAGTCACTTGGGAGGCTGAGGCAAGAGAATCACTTGAACCCAGGCAGCAGAGGTTGCAGTGAGCCAAGAAGGCACCACTGCACTCCAGCCTGGGTGACAGTGTGAGACTCTGCCTCAATTTAAAAAAAGAATCATCCAATCCACCCATTATATAGGTAGGCAAACTGAGGACCAGCCAAAAAAAGCAATTTGCCAAAAATTACACAGCTTGAAGTGGGCAGATCAGGTCCAGAGCCCAGGTCCATAGCAATCTTATCATTCAAGTGAGTTTGGACAGCAATTTGCATTAGCTGCTGTGAGGATGTCAAAGCAATCAATCCACAGGTCTGTTTTGTTTTTTTCCTTAGCAGGTCCAGGTCATAAACAACAAGTACAATGTGTAGTCTCTGTCCTTGAGGAGTTTACAGTCCAGCTAGAAAAACTGGCATGTACACAGGAAAACAGAATCAATACCATAAAACATCAGAACAGGCAGCAGCTGTATCAAGAATTTAAAGGAGGCAGACAGCAGCGGGGCTGGCTGTGTAGGAAGGCTTCCTAAAGAAGGGCTACAGAAAGCTGGACTTTGAAGCATGACTTGGAGTCCAACAAATAGAAAGGAATAGGTATGTCAGTCTAGGAAAGAGCTTCAACTCATAAAGGGGTTTTGTGGGAGATGAGGCAAAATCGCACACGAAGGCAAGGTCTTAGCGGCTGGGGATCCTTCAGATGCCAGGTCAGGGCATTTGGACTTGGGTCTGTGAAACAATAGGTCTTCAAACTTGTTCAAGAGCAGATCACTTGGAAGCCGCTGAGCTCTTCACAGAATTCCACAAGTGACTGATCCCACTTCATTCCAGGACAACATTCGTGTCGGGAAACAGAACTGTTCTTCTACATCTGTAATATAAAACCACAACCATAAGCGTGCGTACCTGTGAACAAAGTAAGTTCTCAAGTGAAACAGGATCAATCTTTCCCAAATACTCCTGTCAACAGTTATCTGTCCTTGACCTCTGTCTTCCGTCTCTGTCTTCTGTAGCTTGTGTACTGATAGACAACATGTACCTGTTCCACTGTTTTTCACAAAATATGGGAGAGAAAAACTTAAAAAATGGAGAGAATTCTGAAAACTTACTTTTTTTTCTTCATATTGGAAAGAGGCAGTCTGATCATTTTAAGGGTTCAAGGCAATGCCACATAGAGTAGTATCCTCACTGAGCATCAGTTTCCCCATCTGGCATGGAGGGGTTGGAGATGGAAACATTATCTGAGGCCAAGTTTTGGACACATGATTCACCCAGTCTGGTCATCTTCACATCTCCTGGGCTCTCTGGACAATGAAAGGGATGGGGGACCAGTCCTTCCATACATGACCACGGTTCTAAGCAGCAGAGAGAGTAGCTTTGGTGGGACTAGCTCTGTAGCTGTCAGCTTCTGCAAAGGCCAGGGGTCAGCATGAGATGTCAAAAAAGGATTTCTGTGCTGGGTCCCGGAATGAGCACAACACCCCAGTTGCTGACAGGTCAGACCCATTTTGGAGTGCCCCCAGATACTTCTCTCCTCACCTGGGGCTCCCCATTGCCCATCTTGGGCTCCTGAAGCTTTCCCGACTGCTCAGTCTTGGAGGAAGATGAGTACCTTCATTCCTAGGTCACCTGGCCAGGAACGGGCAGCACCCTGTGCCCAGGATGTAGGCTTCTATGAGCTGGCAGGGGCATGGAATTCTTGGAGAGTTCGTGTGTCGTGTCCCCATTGCCTGAGGGAGCTGGGAGGTCACTAGAAGCCGGATATAGTAGCCACCAAACACTGCCAGCAGCTGGCGGGCCATTTCCTAGAAAAGGCAGGGAAGCAGATTGAATACCCCAGGGGAACCCCTTGAGGGAAAAGGGCTTAGGCACTGGGGAAAAGCCACACTGCCTTCTTGCCCCTGGAATGAGGAGTGATGTTCACTAGGAAGAACCAGGCCAGGCCAGCACCTGGGGCTCTCAGAAGATGCCAGCCTGGTCTAGACGTCCAGTTCTGCAACCCACGGGCTGTGGGGCTCCTGCAGCCTCAGTGTCCTCACTGCCAAGGTGGGTAACTAACTGCTGAATGGCAATAACAATACTCACAAAAAAGATATGCAAGCTCAAAGTGCTAGAGAAATTACCTAATTCTAATTACCTAAGTTTTTAAGCCGAGCTGGCCAGGCATGGTGGTTCACACCTGTAATCCCAGCACTTTGGGAGGCTGAGGCAGGAAGGTCACCTGAGGTCAGGAGTGTAAGAGCAGCCTGGGCAACAGAGAGAGACTCTGTCTCTACAAAAATAAAATTCAAATTAAAAATATATTTTAAAAACATAAAAAGAAAGTCAACCTAGCCAGCCACAAATACATTCTTTTTTCTACTTTCAAATGTCTATGAGTCTGTAAAGTACATGAGTTCCAAGTGACTCACCTGAAGAAAATTACTAAATAGTGGAGGTGGGGAGAGAAATAGACCATGATAGCAGAATCCTTTAATTCATACAAGGTACCTGGTAGATTTCTTAACACAAGTACTCCTAACATATTAAAAGAGACTGCTTATATTTAAATATGATCACTGACAGTAAAATTAAAAAAAAAAAGAAAAAGAAAGAAAAACATAAAAAAGGGAAAAAAGAGATTGCTTATAAAATTTAGTTTTATCACAAAAGGACAAATACTGTATGATGCCGCTAATACAAGGCACCTAGCGTAATCAACTCACAGGGAGAGAAGGTAAAACTGTGGTTTCTAGGGGTTGAGGGGAGGGAGAAAGGAAGGAAGGGGAAGTTAGTGTTTAATGGGCACAGAGTTTGATTTGGGAAGGTGAAAATATTCTGCAGATGGATGGTGGTGGCAGTTGTGTAACAGCGAGAATGTACCCAATGTTGCTGAACCATATACTTAAAATGGTTACGATGGTAAATTTTATATTATGCATATTTGCCACAAAAAAAATTTAAGTGAAGAAAAAAAGGATTAAAAAATTTAATTGAAAAAAATATACTTCTTTTTTCTTTTTTAAAGACACGTATCTTAAGCCAGGTACAGTGGCTCACGCCTGTAATCCCAGCACTTTGGGAGGCCGAGGCGCACAGATCGCCTGAGCTCAGAGTTCAAGACCAGCCTGGCCAACATGGTGAAACCCCGTCTCCACTAAAAATACAAAAAAATTAGCCGGGCATGCTGACAGTTGCCTGTAATCCCAGCTACTCGGGAGGCTGAGGCAGGAGAATCACTTGAACCCGAAGGCAGAGGTTGCCGTGAGCTGAGATCGTGCCATTGCACTCCAGCCTGGGCAAAAGGAAGGAAACTCTATTTCAAAAACAAAAAAAGGACACAGGATCTTACTATGTCCTTACTATGTTCCCCAGGCTGGTCTTGAACTCCTAGGCTCCTGCCTTGGCCTCCTACAGTGCTGGGATTACAGCTGTGAGCCACTGCACTAGGCCTTAATGCACATTCTTATTAACACATTTAAAGAGCCGTAAAGATCCATTGACCAGTCTAGAAAATGGGATCTCAGGGGAAATGCTTAAATTCCGTAAGCATGGTGTTGAAGGTCTTTCACATGACTTGCGTCCACTCTGAATGTAATGAAATAAGGTGTGGGTTACATCAATGCTAGTTATGTCTATAAAGTTAGTAATTAGGGACAGGCTTTAAAGTCAAAAAGGCCAAGAGGGAATTTCAGCTCAGTCACTCTATGATTAACCCAGAGCAGTCGCTTCACGTCGTTGAGCTCATTTCTTCATTGGGAGAATGGAGAAAATAGTGGCACTGACCCCATGAAGTCAGAGTGAGGATTAAAGAGCCTAACAGACAAACAGCATTGAGCCCGCGCCTGGTGCTCCACGCATGGCATCAATATCTTTCCAACATAAGATTAGCGTTTGTTTCAAGTTATCCTTTGTGCTGGAAAATATAAAACACTTCAAATAGTTTACCACACCCTAACTCAGATTGGTCTTCTTGCCAGTTTACTCTAAAATCAGTAACGTAAGAAACAAAGAACGGTAGCAAGAACATTGGCCTACTTAGAATCAGCAGGGCTGGCTTCGGCCCTTGGCTTACTACACTCTCCCTTTCTGGCGGCCTTGGGAAAGTCAGCTGACCTCTTGGAACCTTATTTCACCCATCAAGGAAGAAAGAAAAATAATTCATACCTTGAAGAGAATGCTAATGAATTTTATGCACGAGAAAAATCTGTAAAAATGTAAGAGGTC